AAAAAAAAAAAAAAAAAAAGATCCTTAACCAATATCTTTTTCATAGAGTGTTTTGAGTTCCTCTTGGTATATTCTCAGAAGGGGGATTCCTGGGTCATATGGAAGGTAAATCGATAGATCTTTTGGAATTCGCCACAGTTTTCCACAGAGGTTATACTAGCTGACACTCCCACCAACAGTGTAGAAGTGTTCCCTTTTCCCCTGTACCCTTTCCAGCATCTGTTGTATTTTGAGTTATTGATGATGATCCCCTGACCAGAGTTAGGTGATATCTCAGTGTGGTTTTCATTTGCACACCTTTGATGATTAGTGAGGCTGAGCAATTTTTCATGTATCTGTTCATGTATTTTTCATGTAGCCATTCATATGTCTTCTATTGAGAAGTGTCTACTCATATCTTTTGCCGTCTTTTTAACAGGGCTATTTATTTCTTTTCAGCACGTTTGAGTTCCCTCTAGATTCTAGATATTAGGCCTTCATCAGATATACAGTTGGTAAATACTTTTTCCCAGTCTGTGGCCTGTCTCCCAGTTCTCTAGATGGTTTCTTTGGCTTTGCAAAAGCTTCTCATTTTGATGAGTTCTCACTTATCTATCTTATCTCTTGTGGGATGGGTACTTGGGGTTTTGATCAGGAATTGGTTGCCAGTTACAATTTCCATAAGGGTCTCCCGCATTTTTTAAAGTTCTTATAGCTTAGCTGGGCTCGGTGGCTCAGCCTGTAATCCCGCGCCATTGGGAAGCTGAGGTGAGTGGATTGCCTGAGCCTGCAGGTTCGAGACCCTCCTGAACAGCAAGACCTCATCTCTACAATAAATCAAAAAATCAGCCGGGCGTGGTAGCGCATGCCTGTAATTCCGGCTACTTGGAAGGCTGAGGCGGAAGGATCACCAGAGCCCAGCAGATCAAGGCTGCGGTGACCGGGAGCAGCCACTGCACTCCAGTCTAGGTGACAGAGTGGGACTCCAACTCAAAAAAAAAAAAAAAAAAGTTCTTATACTTTGAGGTTTTACGTTTAGGTCTTTGATCCATTTGGAGTTGATTTTTGTATATGGTGATGGGTAGGAGTCTTGTTTTAATCTTCTGCATGTGGATAGCCAGTTTTCCTGGCACCATTTACTGAATAAGTTCTCCTCTCCCCAGTGGTTGTTAGTGGAGGCTTTGTCAAAGATAAGTTGGTTGAAAAATTGAGGATAGCTGCACATGCATGTTTATTGCAACATTAGTCACAATAGCAAAAACATAGAACCAACCGTGCTGCCCATCAAAACTGGACTGCATAAAAAAATGTGGTTCAGATACATGATGGAATATTACATAGCCATAAAGAAGGACAAAATTACAAACTTTGCAGGAACTTGGATGGATTTAGAATCTACAATACTCAGTGATCTATCACAGAAACAAACAACTGAGTACCACATATTCTTACTCAAAAGTGTACCCTGAACAATTATCATAATACTATAAGAAAGGGATTGGCTGTAGTGGGAAAATGTCAGGGGAGAGAAGGAGGGCACACTTCAGCAACAAGGGTACCTGATCTCAAACCAGGCGAAGTGGACCAAAGCGAGACCCAAACGTCACTTATACAATGACCATTTATATACCTAACTCTGAACTGCACCCCACATCTTTAAAATTTTTAAAAAGTTCCTTGCCGGGCTCGGTGGCTCAGCCTGGAATCCCGTGCCTTGGGAGGCTGAGGTGAGTAGACTGCCTGAGCCCGTGAGTTCGAAACCTGCCTGGGCAACTTGGCGAGACCTCATCTCTACAATAAATCAAAAAATCAGTCGGGCGCGATAGCGTGCACCTGTAGTTCCAGCTACTTGGAATGCTGAGGAGGAAGGATCGCCGGAGCCCAGCAGGTCGAGGCTGCGGTGGCCGGGAGCGGCCACTGCACTCCAGTCTAAGTGACAGAGTGAGACTCCAACTCAAAAAAAAAAAAAGTTCCTTAACCAAAATGTCAGCTGTTTGTATCATGTACTTCAAAATTCTTTCAGCCTCTACAAATTATATAGTTCCAAAAGTGACTTCATGTTTTTAGATATTTGTTACAATGGCACCCTACTTCTTGGTTCTAATTTTTGTATTAGTCTGTGATCTCCAGAGAAAAATAGCCAATTGGAGAGTATACATGTATATATGTGTGTGTGTGTGTGTGTATGTAAATATTTATGCGCACACATATATATACATACACACACATATGTATGTATCTCCAGGAAGAGATTTATTATAGGGTATTGATTGGCTCATGTGACTATGGAGGCTGAGAAGTCCCATGATCTGCCATCTGCAAGCTGTAGACCCAGAAAACCCAATGGTATAGTCTCAAGGCTTGAAAGCCCGAGAACCATTGGCATATATTCCAATCCTGGTCTGAAGTTCTGAGAAGCAGGAACACCAAGGGCAGAAAAAAGATCAATATCCTAGGTCCCACACTCAGACACAGTTAATTCAACCTTTACTCAGGCCCTCAATAGATTACATGATTAATTAAATAACCACATGGGTGAGGGCAGATCTTCTTTACTCAGTCCACCAATTCAAATACTAATCTTTTCAAAAACATCGTGACAAAAACAATGTTTAACCAGCTACCTGGACATCCGGTGACCCAGTCAAGTTAACACATAGAATTTACCATGATACTCTTACACAGTGAAGAGTGGAAGCCCAAACAACTACTCAACTGCTATTTTTTTAAAAACTCATACATACAAAAAAAAGTGTACCTTGGTGAAACCTATTTGCTCCTTCCGGAAATTTTCCAGAGGTTTGATCAGCAAATCACCTGCATTTTGTACCTAGAGTAAAAGAAAAAACCACATAAAACAACTTTTAGATTAACAAGGTTCAGATATAAGATTCCTTGTTACTACAATATTATCTTTTAATGTGCTATCCTGCAAAATTTTAATTGGTTTACTGGTTTCTTGGTTTTTGTTACTGTGTGTGTCCACATTGTCTCTGAAAATCAAGTGCATTGAGAGGAAATGAAAGAAGGAGCATTAGGGGCATTTCTCTGTAACTTTAATGGTATTCTGACCAGAGTTTTGAACTGATAAATATCTAGAGTAATATTCATCAACAGATACAGGAGACCTAAAAGACGTGTGAAAAAGAGAAGAGAAAGAGAATGGCAAATACATGGGGAAAAAAAACAATGTCACAAAGTACAAACCATTTCAGAAGAGGAAAATGAGTTCACAGTAACAGCATTAGCATAAATCATTTACAATCCTGCTCCAGTGTGTCAAAAAACCAGAATATTTCCTTCAGAATCTGAAATGCATTACAGTGTCACTGAAAACACTGGACCGTACCTTCAAATTACCTAACTAAAGATGTTCAGAAGCTGATAGGAATGGCCTGTTCAGGTACTACAAACATTGGCATTGATAAACTCTGGCGACATAAAAATATCAGATGCAAAGTGGACTCCTTGTTGAGTGTGCAGGTTAAAAGACAAGAAGCAGGTTGGGCTCAGTGGCTCAGCCTATAATTCCAGCACTTTGGGAGGCTGAGGCAAGTGGACTGCCTAAGCCCCCAGGTTTGAGACCAACCCGGGAAACTTGGCAAGACCTTGTCTCTACAAAAAAAAAGACAAAAAGCTTTTCCTTCATATAAACTTCTTGCGAGATTGCATCTGTCCAAGGCAACCAACAGGGTTTGTTTCTTCAGTGGTGAGAGTTAGAACCACTATAATGGAAGACTACAGAGAAGACATCTAAAGGGCTGCCTTTTAGAATCCATTGCATTAATTTTGATCTACAAGACAGAGAAATAAAGGACTGATTTCCTTGTCAGATGAGACATAAAGTGTCAGGAAGACAAGATATATCTTCATAACAAAAATAGAAAATACAATAGAGGGCCAGTTTTGAGCAGTTCTGAATTATCCAGACTACAAAGCAATTTTTAACCTACCACTAAAACGTGTGGAAAGTTGGAACATTAGTACATATTTTATGTATATTCTGCAAGTATTCTTAGGCCTCAAATTTTGTGTATAGGCCTCCTATTTTGTGTATACTTCTGCAAGTATTTTTAGGCCTACTATTTTGTGTATAGGCCTACTATTTTGTGTATACTTCTGCAAGTATTTTTTGGCCTCCTATTTTGTGATTCATGGTTTAACTAAATGGGCAAACTCCTAACAAGCAACCGTTAACCCTTATGTAAGAAGAAGTTGGTAATTCCTGAATTTCTGATATACAGCAGCTACTAATAACATTCTAATACTACCCATGACTGCCAACACACAGCAGAAAATATAAAATTTGGCAAGAAGAAATAATGGTCATCACAGGGGCAGAGTCATTCTCTATATGTCCCCTAATCACCAGTGTTTCCATAGCTGGCTTTCCAAACCTGGTTTGCTAGAAAGCTTAGATCATGTAATCTTTCCCTAATACACTCCATCTGATTCTCATCACATCTCTTTTAATCTACTGGACCTATGAAACCTCATTTGATCCTGATCATTCTATAACCTACCTCCCATTATAACACCAAGCATCCCCTATATCCCTGAACATGCTCATTAAGCAAAGACAGGAAAGTCTATGAATTCATACCTACAAAACTCCCCAGTAGAGACTTCTCTACAGAGATCTCTAATCCTTAGAGTCATTTTTGGCCGGCTCAGTAGCTCAGCCTGTAATCCTAGCACTTTGGGAGGCCGAGGCAAGTGGATTGCCTGACCTGTGGGTTCAAGACCCACCTGGGCAACTCTACAATACATCATCTCTACAATACATCAGAAATTAGCCGGGCGTGGTAGCAGCGTGGACCTGTAGTTCCAGCTACTTGGAAGGCTGAGGTGGAAGGATCACCGGAACCCAGTAGATCGAGAATGCGGTGGCTGGGAGCGTGCCACTGAACTCCATTCTGGGGGACAGAGTGAGAATCCGACTCAAAAAAAAAAAAAAACAAGAGTCATTTTGGTTGCTCATCCAATCAAAGTTCCACTAGCAGTTGTGGTATCAAAAATAATGACACCAATGTCTCTCCTTGATTGAAAATAAAAAAATAAGTATTATTCCACTAAAATAATAGCCCACACCTTTTGCTCAAAACATTCTACACAAGCCGGGCTCGGTGGCTCAGCCTGTAATCCCGTGCCTTGGGAGGCTGAGGTGAGTGGATTGCCTGAGCCCGTGGGTTCGAGATCCGGAGACCTCTTTTCTACAATAAATCAAAAAATCAGCCAGGCACGGCAGCGCATGCCTGTAGTTCCGGCTACTTGGAAGGCTGAGGCAGAAGGATCCCTGGAGCCCAGCAGGTCAAGGCTGCAGTGGCTGGGAGCGGCCAGTGCACTCCAGTCTGGGTGACAGAGTGAGACTCCAACTCAAAAAAAAACATTCTACACTTCCTTGGACTGCAGATTATGTACTAATCTGTGGGAGAGAGGGGTTGACAACAGTTAAAAGTATGCCTTTTGGAGATGGCAAGCTACGAAAACCTACCAGACGGGTTTTGCTTGAGAAATCCAAATAGCCCAAAAGGGCTTTCCTGGAAAGGCTAAATAGTAAGCAATTTAAAACCCCAATCCAAATACTCTCTTTGTCAAGTTATCAGTTTATAACCCCTGCTTCTTATGCATATCCTGGAGATGAGACCATTTGTTCTTTTGAAAAACTGATTTTGCTGAGTACAGCCTTGTGAATTCCAAAGAAAATGTATAATCACTCAACCCGGGCCCCACCCTCACCTAAACTAAGGTATAAGACCCCTCTCCTCCCTCCCTGGGGTGCTCAGCCTGGGAGCTTTAGCCCATTGAGTCTCACAGGTGCTAATAAAACTGCTACTTCCTAAAATAGCCTCGGTGTCATGGCCTCTCTGTCTTCCTGCTGCACTATCAACTTTGGGTACTCACTGGAAACAAATTAATTCATTGGTGTCATAGACCCTGTACAAAGAGTTCTTTTTCTTCTATACTACTGTGAAACTCTTAATACATGGCCACAAATTAATTGATACACCTTCCATTAAGAGGTTAGATCTATGTGCGCTCTTCCTTGAATGTGAGTGGGATTATTGCCATTTTGAGCCAACAGAGTACAGCAGAAATAACACCCTGTGATATTTGGTGTAAGGTCATAAAAAGCCAGCAGCTGAGCCGGGCTCAGTGGCTCAGCCTGTAATCCCGCACCTTTGGGAGCCTGAGGTGAGCGGATGGACTGAGCCGGCGGGTTCAAGACCCGCCTGGGCAACTTGGCGAGACCTCATCTCTACAATACATCAAAAAATTAGCCAGGCATGGTAGCACGTACCTATAGTTCCAGCTACTTGGAAGGCTGAGGCGGAAGGATCGCTGGAGCCCCGCACTCCAGTCTGGGTGACAGAGTGAGATTCCAATTCAAAAAACAAACCAAAAAAGCCAGCAGCTTTTACCCACTTCCCTTGGAACACTCCCTCGGGGAACCCTTAGGCAACATGTAAGAAAGGAGCTAAACTACTCCGAGACTACCAAACTGGAGAGACCAAATGTAGACACTGCACTCATACCAGCTGAACCCAGCTTTCAGTCATCCCCATATAAACACCAGATTTACATGAATTTTAGACCCTTCATGTCAATGCATCTGCCAGGTGAATACCACTGTGTGGAGCAAAAGAATCACTCAACTGTCTGAATTTCTGACCCACAAAACAATGAGATATAATTAAATAATTAAATACTTTTAGTTTAATCCATGAAATTTTTGAATAGGTCATTTTGCAGCAATAGATCATTAGAAAAACAATTTACAGTTTCACAAAGGTAACACGTAAAAAGTGGCCATATCGGAAACACACCGAGGATGTCTACCTTTGAATAAGGTATGAACATACCACTTCTTTTTTTTTTCTTTTCTTTTTTTTCCTTTTTTTGAGTTGGAGTCTCACTCTGTCACCCAGATTGGGGTGCAGTGGCCATTCCCAACCACTGCAACCTTGACCTGCTGGGCTCCAGGGATCCTCACACCTCAGCCTTCCAAGTAGCTGGAACTACAGGCGCGCGTACCACGCCCGGCTAATTTTTTTATTTATTGTAGAGATGAGGTCTTGCTGCCCAGGCGGGTCTCGAACCCGCGGGCTCAGGCAAGCCACTCATCTCAGCCTCCCAAAGGCACGGGATTACAGGCTGAGCCACCAAGCCCGGCTTGAACATGCTACTTCTAAAGAGACTAAAATACACCGAGTCTCTGAACGGATACCCAGCTGAACCCTTGCATATTCAAGCATCCCCAGGATGGCACAGTTGCTGCATTTTCGTGTTCCAAAGGAGATTGCCCTGCATAAGCATGTTGGTCAGCAACTTCTAACATAGAGTTCATAAGGCCACCGCCTTTTACGTGTTTGGCCCCAGCTCAGTCTAGGAAAGTAGTCCATGATTCACTAAAATTAGAATATATAGTTTTCCCTTAATCACAGTGGCAATACTGCTCCCAGTCTCCTACACTATGAATAAATATTCTGAAACCTTTTATGTCTCTTACACTCATTGGTTATTAACCTATTTTCTGTCAGAATATAGACCTAGGAATGTAGAAAAAGGTCACATTGAGAATTGTCCCTTTTTTCATTCTATTTTACTCTTAAACCCCTTAGAAGTCTAACAACTACTCAAAAAATCCTGTTATGTAAACTTGGCCTTTAATCAACCCTTCCTAATAACTACATTCATTTTGTGAGCTATCACAGAATAGAATCTCCACCATGAGAAGGGATACCCTCAATACAGTTAATACAATCACATTCCTATTGAATAAAGCCTAAATTAATGCTGGATATGGTGTGGAACGAATAGAGATGGTAT